AATATGCTTTAACAGTTGTTGAATGCCTAACTAAGTGCATTTTTCTCCGAAGTATTTTCGAATTAGGATACATTATTTATTCTCATAATCATCACTTAACACCGTCTGCATTGGTAGGTTAATTATATTTCACACTAATGATTCGGATATGGGCATGTTTATGAAGAGCTAAATTAAAAACAGCAAAACTATGAGTGCTGAATAAATGAACATTCTTACATTCAACATAAGACCAACACGCGACGTAATAGGTAGAATAGGTAGCGCGCCTTTAATATATTCTTCTATTACGTTCCTGTGTAGAAGAACCCATACACCTGTTGCTCTGTATTTTTATGAAGCATGTTGAACAACAAATGTGTTAAAATCTACTTATTCACTATCCGATTAGGTCTACATTATCTACGTTCTTGACGTAAGATGACCCCTTCGCGGTTGCTAATCGGTCTAATAGCGGATTTTGGTTGGATAATATGGTTTTATACGACGACACTTTTATCGTGTGAAATTAGACTAGAAAGAAGGGTCTCACAACGATTGCCCAATGCATACCATTGAATACAGAAAAGACTCAGGAAGTGAAAAGATTCAAGTAATACCGTTATATAGACAGCATTTCGCAAAATCAAGTTAGGTTATGTTTATCCGTTTAGAGGCAATTTCAAGGTGAATTATAGTGTTTTCACCTAGTAAGACAACGTTCTTTTTGCGGTTTTAACACAATTCCAGGATTAGAAGAAGACAATTGTTTTATTTATTTATAAAATGAATATCTTCCGTTTTTTTTTTGCGTAGAACTTACATCGAGACTAACGGCGCCGTTTGTCTAGAAATATTGAGATTACATCTAGGAAACAATGACAATTGTCAACATTATTGGCTCACTAAACCTAAATCATAAATCTATTGCTTGAGATTTTACCTGTTTTCACTATTTATCAAATAATGACCAACCTCAGATTCGATACTTCGTTTTTGATTATTGAAGATGTTAAAAATCGTGTCAGAGGAAATGCGTCTGGAATAGTCATGTCTGATGCGTGGGATGGATCAAACGGAATATATCGTAGAAACAGGTATTCAAGCTATATCTGAAGTATATATCTAGCCCGTCCAAACGTGAAATATGTATTCTTAGCGATATTGCAGACATTTCACACCTGTGATGATGAAGTTTCAATATGTGTTTCTTGATAATATTCTTCACGCTGTCTCGCGTCAGGTAAGCCGATATCTTCACGAATTCTTCCGTAAAACGTGAAACAAAATATATAAGAAACAACGAAGTCATTCTATTTGCCAAACTTGAATGTAAATTTTAAATATCCTACGATACCTCTTCGGTAACATTTTTTCTTGCGACGCTTAGACTTCTCCAGTTGAATCATTATTTCACACTGTTTTGGTGCGCAAACACAATTTCATTTCAAAAGAAATTAAGAAAATCGTTGCCTTTGCAATTGATTTTACTCGACTGATATATTCAGATCATATTTTATAGTATTGAAATCTGAAAAAAAAAACATTATATTTTATTGACCGTTTAAATTTTGAAATTGTAAGCCAAAAAACACAGACGTCACTTATGTAGATTTATTTGACGCGTTCGGACCTTCAATATCGTTACATCTCTTACGTTTTTGCTCTTTAGTTTAGCGAGGGTTGACATTTGCATGCAACGAATGAATGCCATATTGGCGATAATTTTTGTATCAAACGTCACATATTTGCATAGTTCATATGGACCTGTGAATTTATATTTAAGAAGTGTATTGCCAACATATGTTTGGTTCATAAATGTCCGATTACAATTCAAAGCTGCATGTAGGTTCATCTTACAGGGAGTTGTAACTGAATTTATAGTTTTGCAGATATGCCGCGTGCTTCGTATTTCCGTTTATTATTTGAATGTTATCAGAAGAGAAATTGCTTCTTAATTTTTTTTGCGAAATATGTACTCAAGTTTTGACATTTTGTGTGTAAATGACAATATGTTGGCTGGAATTTCGTGACGGAAAATTAAAATTTGCATTTTTACATTTGTTTTTGTTATAAACTTCTAAATATCATTTGCGTTTTATAAAAACGTGAGCTACTTTTTTGCCCAATTTTTGTCTACCTAAACGGGCGAAGCGGTAAAGAATCCATATCTTTTCATACGTACATAAATACTGCAATTCGCGTATTCTTTGTAGGCATAGAAATCATCATTTTTGTAGCGGCCTAGGGCCGTTTTGCACATTAATACGATTTATTTTTGGTTGTTTCATATTAGAAATGAACTTATACTCATAATGAACCTGATGACGTCTCGTTTTCCTAGAATAGTTGCAGATTCAATGTTTTTTTTAAAATCTATACAATCGGATGTCACGTTTTCCGACTTGGTGTATTGTAAAATTGCCAGCGTTCTATCATTCTGTCGGCAGACTTTTGCGTCATTTTCAATTCTATTTTGACATTATAAGTGATTATTAGAAATTGTGAGTTGGGCATTTCATATTTGGTTTTGTTTAAACGACAGACTTAGCTACACGGCCTTTATGGTTAATTGAATGATTCCGATTCTTTTGTTCCGAGGTCGTAAAGTAACGTACGATTAAATAGAAATTAATTGAAGGCTGTTTGATAGCGAAAAGCAAACAACATTTATTATCGTGTGGGACAACATTAATGCGTGGGAAATGATTAATTACTTTTTCTCAGACTAATTAAAAATCAACAGATCTGCATTAAAGTGAATTACCCAACACGATACCGTATGTATGCTTAGCTGCAAAATAAAACAATATTGTGTACTGGAAAAAGTTACAGTATAATCGCGATTCGATTGAAAACATATTTTATTACCGTGAATCTGAAGATTTTCCCAATTGTACTTTTCCAGTTTATCAGTGACTACTTACTAATTTTTTTCCATGTCTTTATTATTGGTTTCTTTTGTTACTCAGTTCCATTATTCGCACGTTCAAATGTGTTTATTTTATTTACCTATTGTGTACTCAATTAGTGCATACTAGTCAACGATGTATTGTAGACAATTAATTTTGTATTTTTGTCACTCCTTATTCATCTGGGAATTATTGTGCTTTACTATCCGACAAAATCCTATCAATTTGGCACGTCGTTCACAAAAGTCAGCGCTCATTACCCAATCTTTACGATTGAATGGTTGCGCTAATCTAATGAAAAACTTCCGTCGTATTATATTCACTCCGTTGAATTCCAAACCACTGAAAAATTTGTGAATGAGAAATCGTCTGACCGTAACGAAATAATTTTCTCTTGAACAAATAGTAGAATGAAAATTTGCATTTTTGAATATATTGTGGTAATGAGACTTATTAAATTCCCGAAAATCACACAGCACGGGAATAGCATAATCGCGAATATCACCAGAATAATTTACCGATTGGTAACTCTGTTGCATAATTGTTAGCAATTGGATGAAACGAATTCATTAGTGAACGTAGAGGATATAGATCGCTCATCATTTGTATAATTTAAATAGGACGTAAAAAGAATCAGTCAATAAGCGAGCATTCTTCAACGAGTGTGGTCATTTGCACAGGATAATCTTCTTGTACGTAAGTAAAAATCCTATGTAATTGCAGAATACGTAGCTTCGATTCTTTTTCGCTGCATGCCAAATACAGTTGACTGCATGTCGAACCATTATTTAGTTGTCATTTTTAAATCAATATTATATCAAACTTTCATATTTTTCGTAAATTTTCTCATTTGCAATGAAAGCTGTTAGTCCTGTCCTCGGCTTCAACTGGCTTCGCCCAAGAACAACTATATTTGGGCCCAAGACAAAATCCCCCAATCTGTCTCAAGGGAAAATAGGAAATCAACTCTCTGTTGACTTACGTCTTTCATTGATTTCAAACGCTTCATCCAAAATGGCGAGTGTGAGTTGGTGCTCCACATATCAAATTGTCTATGTTTCGCCTAAAACCCGTAAAAAGTTGTTCGATATAAAATATATATTTGGCGAAGTTATTGTAAAAACTTGTCATGGTTATAAGATACACGTATAACAATTTTAGTACATTTGCATGACAACAATGACTTAGAATTTTAAAATGTAAAGTTAGACTTGATCATAATCTGGATTTTGACTTTCGACATTCGCAATGTCTTGAATTTTAATAATAACCTAGTGCTATCCATTCCAAGTTAACAAACGTTAGATGTTTGTGTTGTTATTCGGCGAAATTCCATGCTATTCGCTACAAATGCGCCAGGTTGAATTACTGCAAAATGCTGAAAATATTTTCCTATTTTTATTATCTCATAGATGATTTTTCTAAGAATTTCACGCCCAATAAATTATCATCTTTCTAAATTATTATTTTTGGTTTAAAACTTGTTTTGTGAACATAAATTCGGATGATAAATTTGCCAAACCCGTTTCTGCATATTTATTTTATATTCTTAGTTTCCAACGTGCACGTTGTATACGTCAGTAACACACGGAACATTGCGTATGTTGTGCGGTACATCTTTGTTTGTCTATATTATTTTTTTCATAAATTTTGCACCGTAAATCGCAATGCATTCTGGGAGATAAATGAACGATTCACCTAGTTAGCACTTCTCAGTAACCCAATGCACTGTCACGAAAGCTCAATGATTTGAGAATTTTTTTTATAAATTAGAAATATTTATCGTAGTTATGTTCTTTTATATTACGCTATGCAATTATTGATTCAACCAAATATGAGAATGCATATTTATCGATTCATTGCAGTATAAAAAAACAGTGATATCAATGCCATTTGTTGGTAATTGTCACCATGCAAATGTGCGTTAAATAAATAAGCGTGTATTTATTCCTCAGCTAAATAAAACCTAACAATACTATAAAATGTCGGTAGATTTGGCGATTCAATGTAAAATTTCGATTTGTTGTTGGCATTATTCCCAGATTCCATGCTGAAGACGCTATATGCTAAAGAATTTGGGACAGAGCCACGCGCGCCGTTATATGGCACTGCGTTGATGGCATTTGCTTCAGCGCCTTGCGTCTTGTTTCTAACTCCTTTGCAGCACGTCCTTGCTCGAATCGTGTACTTCTCGTCGTCAATCACGTGATTTCGTGATAGGGAAGTAGCTCGGTGATAAGTAAGTTTACGTAGGTTCCGTTTACATAACTTATCTCTTGATAAATCTACTTGATTTGGGATATGGGACCATGGACGGCACGAGAGTAGCATGAGCTTTGTAACATGAATTATAACACAAAACAAAATCTGTTCTAATTTTCCTCAATCGCTTGAAATTGTAAGGATTGTGGAATCATGAGAATAATAGAAAAAGGCAAATTTATGAATGCCTTTGTTTGTCACAATGTAGAAAATTCATTTCCCTCAATCAATCGATGTTGTACACACAGGTTAACGTATTCTTACATTTGCAGAATGTATTTAGTGATACCTCGATAATTTATGACATAAAATTCTAAAGCTTTGGATTTACAACGGAACGAAGTGAAATTTGCTTTGTACGTTACAGAAGTTTATGATATCATCCAAGGAGGGCGCGATGTGCGACCAAGAAGTTCCTTTTTTCTCACCTCATGTAAGTCAATTTGATTTATGTTGTCTTTGAGCGCAATTGTCCATTGCGAGATTTCTTACATCTGCGTTGTATTTTCGTTTGGAAACAAAGATATGGATATACCTCATAAAATAGTTGAATGTTTGAGGTAGGAATCATTAGTCTTATCCAGTGATCGCAACTGAAGAAAAAGTCGTAAGTGGTTTAAATACTAGGGTGTCTCGGAGGAGATTTACAGAGTGCTCGTAAAGTCCTCTTACAATAAAAATTTCGTCATAAAGTCAGTTCTCGAATGTATTTTGGCCAAGTTTGTTTTGTATTAATCAGTGTTTATTTGAATTTTAATACATCATTATATGCCTATCATCAGTTACACGAAGCATATTTTTTTACCTAATTTAATGCAAGACTTCATAAGCACCCTAAAATCAGTGTATATTGACGACGACATGGCGGCTTTTATTGGTCGAAATGATTTGGTATAAATTGTACAAGTTCGGTATATTCCGGTCAAGCATAACCTTTGATAGCTCAAGTACACTTTGTACTATTTTGGTCCAGTCTAAATTACGACATCCAAAAAACATCTAGACTAAATAACACTCTATTACTAATGCGTCATGAAAAACAGTTTTCGCACTTTTTGATTTTCTAATAACTTACCTTACCATGTATCAGACTTCACATAACATAACAAGCGATAATATTATTTGGTATATATTATCGCTCGACTAAAATGGATGTGAATCAGTGCGGTAATTACTTATTCGTACATAACAAGGAAAATGACAGAAACCACATGATACAAATTAGTCACTTCATTCGTTATCTGGGCGGTCAACACTAGTAACGACACGTACTCTGTTCTTGCTAAAAACAGTTTAATTTATAATATTTTCACCACTAATTTGTCCCAATCATAGAATAGTAATGCTTTTTTCACAAACATTTCTGGGTTTTAGTCCTATTAGAAGTCAGTGTGCGACAAATAACAAAAATGCGACATTTTTATTTAATGAGCTTTATAATTTACAGAACATTGCGCCAATGGAACCAAACGAGAAGAATTTTAATGACGACGGATCCTCGAATAACAACAACGGTAATACCAAGATAACGGACGACGATTTTGCTCTATCGGATGGTAATATATTTTAAATTTGGTTCATTCCAAAGGCTTAAAATCTTAATATAAGTATCTTAAATTTCCCTTGCAGCATTTTATTTTTCGTTGTTTCTATTAATAGTATTAGTTCTATGCATATCTTAATTTGAAATTTAAATGAAATAATTCGACTATTTTCCATTGTTTTCTATAATTTTCTAGTGCACTTCGGTCTGCTGTGGTTCAAGTATTCGTGAATTATTACAAATATTTGAACGCAATCTACGAAGTTATGACACCAACACCGAAGCAGTTTTATGTATTTCTTAAAAACACTCTCAATTATTTTTTTCAGATGTTTTATCAGATTTGACATCATGGATAGTGGATAGCGGTAAGTCGATTGAATCATTCTTATTTTATTCACAAAAACACTAGTTATTATAAAAACACAAACATCCGGAAAACTTCGCCGAAGGGCATCTAAATATCAAGTACATAATTTCACTAAAATTTTAAGTTTGAAATTTTTAGTCTCTGTTCGTAGGATTTCAATATGTCAAATAAGTTCAAAATCATGAACAAGTTCATAACGCAGGTATAAGGTTTAAATGCCTCGCAAAAATCAAAACTATATAACATCTTCTTTGCGATGATATTCATTACATAAATCCTGTCAACAGAGCCATTTTCTAAAATGTTTACTAATTGATATTATAGACCAGGGGTTATCAAATTGGGCCCTCGTTTCCCTATAGGGGCCATGGAGTATACCTAAGTTTTATTTATAAAATTGATATTTAAGTACGCCTTTCTCAGAGAAAAATGAAATTGCGTCATTGGTCACTTACTCACTACCGATATTTAAACGGGACCACCCATTTTTCAATGACAGTACTTATTCCACCAACAAATATCGATTGTGTTAATATCGAGTTAGCGACCAAGTACGTAACTGAAAAATCACGCGATGCACAGTGCTAATATACTATTATTAAAATATTTGTGTTTTTTCAATATTTTATAAATTTATTTTGAAATTTATATATTTATTATTCTTTTAGCTGAAAGTCCGAACGACGATCAGTTCGTGCCTCAAGTGGAAAATTGTGAGTCATTGACATATATATAAATATTATATGGACTAAATTGTATTTATTATTCATAGGGAAAATAGTAACTTTCATATATTTTATCTGTCTTCATAAATAATCTAAAATAGTTTGCTCATGATTTATCAATGAATTCAATAATGATTACTACATATTTGTTGATTTTGTAGGCATAGTTATTGTGTTGTGTTACATTGTTCCTATGTCATAATAATTTTATACAAAAAAAGACGCCGGGCTGCTTTAGAATTATACCCTCTTCGGAAAAAGTTGCTTAAAAAGATCTTATTTTGATCTTACTGTAATCCGAAACAATACAATGTGCCCATACCATGATAAAAATGACTAAAAACGTCATGGCCAAAAATACATTTTAGCTATTCCTGATATTTTTATGTAATACATGCGCCATACTTTTGAAGATTTTAGAGATATAAATTTGTTTTGAATTAGATTTTTTCGGTTTCTGCGACTGACGTAAACGTTATGGCGAACATGGCGAGTCGATCGTGGTTTGTCAAGAAATAACATCGCTTTCACGTACTGTCGGCGATATTTAACTTGCCTTACGTCACTATTACTACACTAAGCACAAATGACACATACCAAGTACGAATATCGATAAATCGGAAATGTAATCATGAGTTATGCTCGGCCAATAATATTATTACACACAGAAGACAAAGGAAATTACTGTCATACCCAGCTGGCGAAATCTCTAGAACGGTTAAAACGTCCTTTTTATGTATCGTTTTCTACTTTGTCGTCATTGTTGCGCAATATCTCAATATTGGTAAAAAATAACTAATAGAACGAAATCTCCGCATTCAATTTAAATAATGAAGGAGTTGAATTGGACAACTTATTCAAAATCATTTCATATATTATTACACATTATTGAATTAAATCTAGGCAATATTGCAATGTTTAAACCGATGCAATCGTGCAACTTATATTAGCTTATTTATAGGGAAATATACGAGTAGTGCAGTTGTCGCTGCTCGATAACCAGCATTAGTTTTTCGCATCTTCCTTCACCCTGGAATGCAATTTTATGTGTTCTCCTATTTAATTTTCGTAACGAATGTATTTTCAGTTTCTTGAAAAAAATAAACTACTAACTGATTGAGAAGTAGTAGATGCAGCACTTTCATACTCCCGCAATCTCCAATAAATACCAAAGTTGAAAATTATTTTTCTTTAATATTTGAACTTGACTTGATATTATATTACGCTTAACGCTTCAGTTTATACAAGATCACCTGGCGATGACAGGTGCGTGGGCGAAAATCCAAAACTTCCGACACTTTGCGGTTGCAGCTTTGATAACAGCGTATAAGCAGGGTGTGCCACGAATAGACAGGCTTTACGTATACCAGTTGTATGCAAGTTTACCATTTCTTTTAAAAAGGTGTCAAGTAATTTGGGTTGGAATTTGGGCTTTCATAAATCTCATTTCAATTACCTCTGTGTGTAGTACCAAAAAAAGACCCCTTCAAAATTGTGAAACTTTTCAAACAAACAACAGTTATAATAAGCATACATACTGTGGTGCGATTTTCCGCTCCAGGAAACCGGTTACGTATTAATTGAATTTACTGAAAATGTATCTGCGCATCCATTCGCTATAAACCTTAGATTATGATTTTGTGTTGTATCAAAAACAATCTTTTTGGTTTTAAAATGAATATTTTGCTGATAATAGATTGAAACAGATAAAGATATCTTGCTTGACTACTAAGCATTGAAAATGTATTCATGTATAATAATTGACAAATTTCATTTACTACCTATGTGGTATTTTCGTACCAGAATTGTTTTTACCATAACCATTTTTAAAAGCATATTATATGCATCAGTCTATATGTTGTACAATCCATAACGTGAAATTAGCCAAAACACATTTGTCAATATTTAATCCATGTTCAATCCGAAGATAGTAAACTTTGTGGTTACATTTGATCATCAATCATATATTGTAAAAGGTCATGGTCGGATTATAGATTCCAAGAAAGTGCGTTGAGAAACCCACAAATCACGAAAATGATATTTTTAATTTGTTGTGGTATTCAATCTTAGATGGCAGAAAAATTAAAATGGCGTCGCTCTTCTTGTATTAAAATAAATATCTAAAAGAATCTCAATCTGTGAGTCATTTGTATACACACACAACTAGCTGAGTTAACTATTCAATATAACTGCAAAGAAGTCGCTTCACCACTTCCGATTTCTCGACTCAAGTGTTTTTTTGTGAATGGAACCCTTTGTGCGTTCGCATTGGACCACGAAAGACAAGAGGTTTACGCGCTGCTGCTCGTGCGAGGATGGGGTGCGCGCGCAACCATTCGCTAATCTTCCGTCAGTATGAGACCATTCACAAAAAAGTCTCGTACTCGCGTAGCACAGCTCACAACCGTGTTTGCTCGCTTTCTCTTTGCGATGAGCAAACAAACACAAATCGGATATCCTATCTCGTAAAAAAGTCAAATAAAATTTACGAGAGCCTTCAAATCGTAATATATCTGCCAGGTTTTTTCTTTCTCTCTTGCCAAATATATTTTAAGTTAACTCGTTGGTTACAATGCGCTTATTCTTATAACTTAAACTACATATCACTAGCCTAGCGATTACGTGGTTTTCTCGATGTTTGTTCTACGTTATCGCTCAAAAACAGGTTAATTTTTAGCTCGTCTTTGCAGAAGTCTCTGGTGTCATTACTCCGAACTTACGACAAATAAAAAACTAGGCAGTGTAAATATCTCACAGCTCGCTGTAAATAAAGTTTTCGAGTGACACCTTTGTTGCTCTGCATCCATGAAATGTTGTAATAATACAAAGACGTCATTGCAAAGTTTACACAGGTTGGAAGCTAAATGTCGAAGCGGTATATTCGCAATAAATTATTATCGCGCAGCAAACGAATCCTAATTACTACTATTAAAATTATAACATTAAAAAGTAGAAACGTCAATAACGTGATCTTCGGGTAAACATAAAAGACTCAGAATTAAAGGGCTATGCGTAAATCAAATGAAATATATTGTTTAAAATGTGGATTTGAAAAAGTCATGAAAATTTTTAATAGAAAGTTGTATACAACACGCAATTTCCATTTTATTCTGTGTCTACTTTTGGACATGGGTTTTCTAATTACTGTATATGCAAAGGTATTTGCTATGCTTCTTAGAGGACTCGATTTAGAGCATATTCAGCATCTTAGCTTGGTAATATTAGTAATATATAATTATTTCGTTACGGAGTCGTCTGTAATTTGGGTACAAATTTAATTAGCATTATTATTCTAATGCATCAGTCTTATACGATCTTTTCTACTTTGCAGTGGTACAGTTTGACCAAGAAGGCTCGAAACCTGATTCCAAAGTACCCGAGTGTTCAAACGGACCAAATGGACGAACTGCAACTTCAGAGGGAAGTATCAACATCCCTCTTACCCCTTTACACATCAGTAATCAATGCGATGACGTATTTCCTTCCGAAGTTCCCCAAGGTATCAGTCCAAGTGGAAGCAATCCGTGCCCGCCTCAAGATTTTCATTCTATTCCGCCTGATCAAAGACTACCTCAAGGATCATCGTGTTTTTCAAGACCGGAGGCATGTTATCAAAACAACGACCCCAGCTTAGTGCCACAACATGCTGAATGGCATCGGTCTGCTGCCAGGGATTTGCAAAATTTTGCTGCTCGTACAAGATTATCCCAACAACGAAATATCCAAGCACCCAATACTTTGGAATTCAGCAGAAGCAGAATAAATGGCGTTGAAAACAGCCCACAATCTTATCCTAGTCCTTTTCATTCCCCGGGCTTTTCAGGATATAGCGCTTCCCCGCTTAGCGAATGTGGTTCAGGAGGAAACGGGTTCGATTTGAACAATAACGAACATCCTGCTAACCGTGGACGCTCTTGCAGTGCGGAATTTTATAGGCATGGAGTTGCGGCCTCGTACGGTGGTGTTTATCCGAAGCATTTTGAAAAACAACTACCTCAGCGTGAACTTGAAATGGCCGAAAATACTCCACCCCATACAAACTTTGCAGAACCGCCACCTCTGTCCCATTTGCCAGTATCGGGGATAGGCGATGGTTGCAACCCGGCGACTAATGGTAATCAGAACACTAACAACAATGCGATCAAGTCGCCTTCAGAAATGACAGTTCCCTGTAATCAGAAAATGTTTTCTGGTCGTGGTCCACACGCAATCTGGGCCCACAACCCACAGCAGTTCCATCGCGGTCCCATGCCATATCAATCTGCGTGTAATGCGGCTCAGTGTACGCCCAATGTGACGACGTCACCGGCAGTTCCCATGAGGCCGCCAACACGAACACAAACGGATTTCAAAGCTCCAGAGCCCTGGAGTGGTGAGTGACACTTCGTTTTTTAATCCGCTTCCCTAGAACAAGTATGGTTTTACGTTGAAATTTTCCGAATAGCACAAATTATAACTTAGTCGTGCCTATTCGAGGATACGTAGCGTTGTGGCATCATTCCATTTACGAAAAGATCTTTTGTCATTTGATATGCCTTCAGATATGATCTGTCACACCCAACATCGTCTTGCTATGATAAACTAAAATGCCACGAAATTGTAATCTCTATCTACAAAAACACCAATAATTCGACGAAAATCTTCTTGTCGTGATTGTATGTGCTGTCATATTAGTGACAGTTAATAATTTAGATTACGCGGTTACCGATCTCTGTTGTGCGTTAAAAAAAAATTTTTTTATTGAAAACAACGACCTTGACTATAAACTCTTGAAGAATTTAATCTAAAATTTGCGGTGTCAATATAAAATTAATCATAAGAACGTCGACGGTTATTAAATGCCATTTGATTGCTCGGATTATTTGAGTAAATACAAAAAGTGAGCCTCCTTTCTTTCGATCACATTGCTTCGATTTATCAAAATTTGAACAAATCAAATATGAAAAAGAAACTCGAAATAGCGATATTAAATCACATTCTCGAGGCTAATATTTGCTGTAATTCTTCATATTCTTTATGCTCGCGTTCTTTACAAAAATATTTATTGCACCTTGAAATAAAATTGAACCAAAACGGGTGACGTAACTTTTGTTTTTGCATCTAGCGCGTTGACCGTATCGAAGTATTGAGTAAAAACTTCCTTTTCGCTTTGGATCGAAATCCGCTGTGTTGTTCAAGCGAAACGAACCGTAAATTCGATGTACCAAAGATATAAATTTGTACGATCCTCGCCCGAGTTTGAATCTCTTCCGAGCGGCAGAATATCTGTAATTTAAATATTCGAGTGCGAGAACGAAAAAACACTACGTATTTGTAATTTGGTTTAAAGACACTGAAGAGATAAAATCAGTGGTAATGTAATCAGTATATTATTATTTGTATTGCGTACAATTATAAAACGAACAATAAATGCTGTTGTGATTAACAATTTTTGCCTAAACGTTAATGTCAATTTTCAGAAAGTCAAAATGCTGGATTTGAGATATATGAAGTCTGAAAAACAATGATGATTTTATTTTTTAAATAATTAACACTGACATTTCTTGTCGCCCTTTCGTTACAAAAAGAATCAGTGATTCTCTCTTTTCTATTCTTTATCCGTATGAGGTTGGTTACTGATGGTTAACTAGAGCGAAAAGTTGCTTGATACACAAAACTCTGAGACGAGACGACGACTCGTTTAAAATGCGGTGTTCCCACTTCATTGCTCGTAAAAACTTAGTCAACCTAAGATCAAAGAGTAGTCTGATTGAAACAAGCACACGCCCAACTAAAATAACAGAATCATCCTTCCATTGACGAATATATGTCGTTACTGCTTACTTTTAATTAAATCATAAAAAGTATCGAGTATTATTCGTTTTGTGATAATAAAATCGCGCTGAAATAAAATGAATATTTATTGGAACTGAAGCTACGTAGATAAACGACGGTTTAAATATAAGAACGTAGGTTTTCAAACAATTTGGCAACTAAAATTTTGCATTATTACTATTGGTCATTTCAATAATAACTGACTCTAGTATTCGGTTAATTTATAATATTTAACAAATTCTTTACGTAAAATTTGATAGAAATGGAGATTTTGCTATAAATTCACATTTTTTATACAAAAAATGGTAATATCGATTTTATTTGAAATCTTAAAAATATTGTCTAGCTATCATTAATTTTCCTTTGAATTAATCCATAAATCTCTGCACATTAGACTTAATTTCGCAAACAATTCAAATATATTCAGAAACTTCACTTAGTATTTCCAAATATTTAATGGTATTATTAAACTTGTGGTCATTATTTAAATCTCGAATAATCAAAATATTCTTTTGCGTCGTTGATATTTACATATTAGGATTATGATGGGACTTTTGTAATATAGCGTTTTGACAAATCGCATATTATTGCTCAAATCCATTGCGTTTCATGTAAATTGGTAATTAATGCTTCTAATGTTGTTTTCTGATGATTGCAAAATTGGTTTGAATGATGGATAGGGGAGTTAGGATTTCAAGACGGCGTTGGGGTTGGCATGTATTTTGTTTCACTGGACATGTTTTCTATCATACGACGTATTCCAAAGTCAAGTATCGAAACTTAATCGAAAGCCTATAATCGACCATCAGCCATGAACCGTCTATAAATAGGTAATTGATGGGCTATGGCTATTTAATTTAAACTTAGAAATTCATGTTGTTCCGACTGTCACGTTTTTGCCAGAGTAATCTAAATTAGGAGGGCAAGTGTTATTGTCCATTCAGTGTACATTTTTGGGCCTATCGTGAAATTAAGAAAAAAATATGCCAGTTTGTCGCAACAATACAACGATTGTTAAACAAGCGCTGGCAATAGATTGTGAATGACATCACTGGCCAAATGTTTTGGGCTGCTCTCAAATATTATATTCTATCAAATAATATGATTAATGTCTGAAGCCTATGTACTAAGTCTGTTCCCTATTCGTTTCCCAATACTTCTCATTGAACCGATGACAAAATTTAAATATTAAAATGTGTGTCGTCTTTGAGACTCTGTTTGTGCTAATTCGAGAGTTAAAAACTACATCCTTGGACTTGAACCACCGTAGGATTGTTGGGCATAGCCAGTGTAAAGAACGTGATGAGCCAAACCGCGAGCCGGCGGAACTGATAAAGCCAACATAAACACTTTCAAGAAAAACGTATTTATCTATAATTTCATCAACAAATATACAGAATCATTAGCACGAAACTAAACACGTTTGTTTATTTTTGTAAGAAAAATGAAACGAAAGCGTTTTGAACTGCAATGCCTTATGGTTTTGATTTGAAATCGTCAGAAAATACTTCCTAAGCACGTCAATTTTGATGCAAGCGGAAATGATTTAGGATATTTTTAGCGCGTACGCATCTTGCACCCCGAGCAGTCAAGTGATCAGAGCAAAATAGGGTATTGATGTATGTCAGATCACTTTATTCATTCATTTATTTATATTAAATCAATCAATATAAAAAAAAATACATAATGAATGTTAATATATTTCATTAGGTCCTCAACAACAGACGCATTGTGTCAGTAATAATCCCGTACCTCAAGACGCTGCTCTGAGAGAAAGGTAAGTAATATATTAATATATTACGTGGGTCTAAAATATACTTGACTGGACGTGGTCTCAAGATGGATAATATTCTAACAGATAAGGTGATTTCTTTGACTTACTTGCCGAAGATATTGTACGCATTTTTATATAACTAGCACCATTCCCTCGTTAGCATGGCGTATTTGTGAAATTTTTAACCTTAATCAAATTCGAGGAATATATTGCAGTTCTTTTATCCTCGTGAAATGAAATATTTATTTAAAATTTAGGATAAAAATAACTTCAGAAAGAAATGGGAGAGCAGCATACAAATGCAAAAATGTTTTTCATTAGTCCTAATCTACTGAATTTACATTACATATTAAATTTCAGATTTCGTCAGTATTCAGAAGAACCTTATCAAGGGTATAATGCACAGCGATATCAGTCGATGGACAACCCAGCAGCACATCATGGAGGACAACCATATCACCCTCGACTATGGCGTCATAATTCCGCACCGGTATTTCCCGCGGTTTCGCCAGGATACTCATCACACCATCCAGTGACAGGATTTCATAAAGTTGCTGTGAAACAGGTTGGTGGTAATTATGACGACATACTACTTTTGTTGAAAATTCTTATAACGACAGTGCCACATCTGCATTCTGGTCTTAATATTTAGTAATTGTACTGTCATTCTAACTATACGAGTTCCAAAGCGATGATTTTCCAAATAAATTTCGAATTCATTAGAATGGGAGATCATGAATCGAGATTATGAAATGATATTTCACCAATTTAAAATGGGAAGTATTTGAAAAACTTTTTTCTCACTGTAAAGTATATGAACCATTTATTTCATGCACGTACAAGTAGATACAATGCGTTTACTTAAACCATTCACCAATTGGGGCTCCCGAAGTATGCGAACCAAGATGGCGGACATCGGAATGTAATATGTGTACTAGGTTAGGGTTAGGCCATAATTTTAAGTATAAATACTACAGGAGGCTCTTGGCTAGTCTTCGAACTGATAATAGAACTAAAATAAGGAAAATTGGAAAAAAATTATCGCCTAACCCTAACCTGTTACCCATGTTACGTTCCGATGTCCGCCATCTTGGTTCGCATACTTCGGGAGCACCCATCAATTTAATAATAAAACGTGTATAGTTCTTTGCTATCATAAAAGATTAATATAGTTTACAAAAAATAATATTTCAGGAGAGTTTATGTTCTGTCAGCGATGTGCAACCTTATCCCACGCCGATGCCAGCACCTCCTGTCAAAGTTGAATCCTTGGGCGAAGGTAAATTTTTACATAGTCATAAAAATTACTATTTACCGTTATATTGCAATTTAATTTGTTGGCTGGAGCAAACTTCAATCTATTTTTTATAATATGTTCAGATGTTCATGGCTTTGGTTTTGGCCAGCATCATCCAGGAATGTTTCAGACGGGATACACTCATCCCGGGTCGAAACATCACCCACTTTTGAAGGTAAGGTGTATATTTATTCCTCAAATCGCAATCCCGAAAAATCGAAATCTGGAGTTTAAATTTCATATTTTTTTAAATAAATTCTAACGGCATACTTAAACATATTATTGCAAATTCATTTGCTAAAAATCGACAATTTTATTTATAATATTCAATTTTGGTTTTAGCGACATCTTACCACTGACGCCATCATGTCGTCAAGGGGACGAATGCATCCGCCGACGAGTCTCCATCCACCGTTGCGTCCTTCTGAATCGGACCCCGGACATCATCTGCCTCCACCACCCACCCCTGTAAGCCAAAAAGACTCGACGCCACAACCAACGAAAGAGTCAAAAACAAAGACAGGTGGAAACGAAAAACCAAAATTGAGTTCAACCGACCAAAAATCGTCACCAAACGTCAACAACGATAAAAAGACGTTTGCTCCGCCTCCCTCGCCGATGCCCAGAGAACGTAATGCATCTGGAGATCCGGCTACTGAAGGTCTTTTCCATTGTCCGTCCGATGCACTTGTACCGGATATGAATGGAGCAAGTGAAGTGAGGTAGGTGCTATAAAGAATATAACTCTACTATGACTACTAATTAATTTTATGTTTGTTTTTTTGCGTTTTTACAATCTAGCTTACGATTACGGCTAGTGATTTCCGAGGTCACCATTTAAATGGTTCTGATACTGTTAACAGGGAATCAGGGACCCCATATCACAGACGTGGAAGTCTACAGTTATGGCAGTTTCTTGTCGCATTACTTGAAGATCCTTCGAATCAACATTTTATTACATGGACTGGAAGAGGACTTGAGTTCAAGTTAATTGAACCCGAAGAGGTAGGTAGCAATTGGCAAACCGCTTTGTTGGGCCGCGTTAATTTGAATTGATAAGTCATAGTCAAGTTTTTCCATCTAGTAAAAAATAACATACGAAATTGACAAAAAATAAAATCAAACATACATTTTACTGGGGAAGGAAATACGCGGGGAACCAAGACTGGTTATCGAGCAGCGACATCTAAAGTTCAATATCTAATCAAATTTCTAGGGTCAGAAATTAAGTTTTTAGAACACTGTTCTTATAGGTTTTGGCAGCTGAATCATTATCAGCTTCAACAGCATTCGGTATCATTTATCACAAAACACCTCGCTGCCAGCCTCTGATTAATATATTTACGTTCACGTTACCTAAGCTGCATACAACAATATTACATAAAATATAGAGACCTCCTGAAGTATGCGCACCAAGATGGCGCACAACCTGAACTCAGATTGTGTACCAGGTTAAGGTTCAGGTTATGCGACATCTTGGTGCGCATACTTCATGAGTACCAAATATAGTATTATTTGAGATTATCTCAAAATATACTCCCAATCTCATTGATGCGTTTTCTTTCAAGGTTGCAAGAAGATGGGGAATTCAGAAGAATCGACCCGCAATGAATTACGATAAATTGAGCAGATCGCTGAGGTATTATTACGAGAAAGGAATAATGCAAAAGGTAAGACATAAACCTATCATTTAGTGAAGACGTAATTTCATTCATATATCATATCATAGAGTGTAATTAGTGAAATCAAATTTCATTTCAATAATGTGAATTAATATTTACTTTTTTCTATTTTGTTTCAGGTCGCGGGTGAGAGATACGTCTACAAATTTGTTTGCGAGCCAGATGCATTGTTCTCCTTAGCAGGCCCACTTGCTCCTCCAGAGAGATGTGTCTCAGCATTTGGGATGGGGTCACATCATCCGTACCAAAGTCACCCTGATTTTCATAAGTTCGGACCCCCGACGCACCCTCTACATCGACACATGTTTACACATATGTATGATCAAGAAAACAGGGGCCACATGTACCCATGTCCTCCCCCTTCGCCCTATTCACATAACCAGGACATGCATATGCCACAGATACCTCACGGGGGTTCACATGACCACCGCATGCATAATATGCCACATCCTATGATACCGCCACGACAGCGAATGCCACCACAGATGAGGCGTCACGGCGCACAGACGCCCATTCACGAAGATCGACAGGCGCCGCCAATGAACCATCAGCATATGCCACCAACCCCAGGACCCACGCCACTTCCAAGGCCCAGCCAGGATAAAAGTCATCATTAAATTTTACTTTTTATATTTGAATCTTTCAAACAAGTGGCCACTGATACGTACAGAGCTTCTATGAAGCAAAAGAAAGGGTTTCAGCACTTGCGAAAAGCTTTGAAATTCTTCCTGATCTGTTATTCGTTTTCATGCTGAATATATTTTCAATTTTTTTTTATTATATTTTTTCATCGTCGCTTTGTACATTAAAATAATTTTCCAATAATTTCTGTTTATTAGATATCATTACTATAATTTCAGCGTATATGTTATTTTTTTGCGCGTCGATCTATAGATTTTTCTATGGAAGATACCATTTTTGTTCAAGTTTCATTTTTTATCATAATTTTTAAAAGTATAATGAAGAAAAAAGACTCAATTTTCCATCCTTCACTGTCAAATATACTTCCCGCTGGCCACGCATGATAAAATACTGATTTTTCCATCATTTTCTGTCGAATATACTTCCCGCTGGCCACGCTTGATAAAGTGCGAGTAAATATTAGGACTGGTTGACCAAGATTTATATTTGACTTCGGTGAATTTGATTCGCATAACAGTGTTGTTAATTTGTGGTGCCATAAATGACATTTACCATGGTAGTAGTTCCAGTCATGCTACATTCACGTTTGAGCCAAGGCGTTAATATTTTTCAGAAGATTTACAGTATATTTTTTCTTGTTTTCTCGATGCTGCATTGAACGAATTTTACGTAATTATTGAATACTGCCCTGTAAAATACATTTTTGAATAAAAGTTCGCGCCAAATATATTTGGAATTTTATTTTTCAATCTGGGAATTAGGATGTTTAACATGTACATGAAAGGGTACATCTGGTAGGATTCTGGAAAAGCAGTGCGCAATTGAATATAGAGATTGACATATAACGGAAGAACGCGTGATTAGGAACAACATGGGTAGAATAATTGAGGTTTAAATATGACCTAACAATAAAACAATCTGAACGCCATGAAAATATGTGTGTCGGCCCATAGCGCGATTTCTGCAAGTTCACTCATATTGTACTTTTATTGTTGACACCACTGGGTGTCTTGAGGTTTGATCAGTTTGTACGCTAAACTCCGAAAGGCCTAAACATAGATTCGCCACGGCTCCTGTAATCGTGTAGAATTCAAAATATAAATAAAGGAAATAATGATTGAAATATTGAGTCGGACCTTGCGGGTTATAATTAAGGCTTCAGCAATTCGAAGTAAAAGTAACTAATTCATTGAACATAACTTGTTCTTTTACGGGGATTATGAAGCGAGCCATTGTTGAAAGCGTTAATCCATTAGATAATGGAGGACAAAAGAACTACTTTAGATAACATTATGCAGGCTTTCAACTCTTATCTTAACGGACAATAGATATCGACGTAATTTGCACCCCTCTTGCGCCTCAGGGGAAAGACAAATAATCGTTATCGAAGATTTTTTCTAAATCTCAAGCACGACCCTTGTGCCTTGATTGTATATAAAGTGCAACTGTGATCCTATCAGACATAACAATTTGTCGATTGCCAATAAAGTTCAATCAATTTGTAACGACTGAGAAGTAATATGCCATCGCCAACTAAAGTATCCAAAACTCGACCAATCCCCACCCATCCGGGATTTAAAGAAATGATCGTATCTGCTATCAAATCACAGGACGAAAAGAAAGGATCCTCTCGACATTCCATTCGCAAATACATTGAAGCAAATTATGAAGTTAAGCAAAATGTATTCACCAGTAACTTGAATCGACAACTGAAGAAGCTCCTTGACTCAAACTTCTTAATTCATCCAAAAACTGCACCTGGAAGTTATAAAATCAACAAAATTGAATTGGCCAAGGTAGAGAAGTATGCGAAAGCAAAGGCAAGAACCGCTCTACAAAAAGAAAATGCAAAGAAGAAGCTAGCAGAAAAGAAAGAAAAAGAACTCGCAAAGAAGAAAAATGCTAAGCAAAATAAAAAGAAAGAGGCGATTGCGACTAAAGCTACTACCAAGAAGAAATCAACGACGAAATCTGCCACCAAAAAGGTTGCAAAAGCGACCAAATCCAAGGCGACAACTAAGACCAGCACAAAGAAAACAGCAAGCGGAAAAACGACGCAGAAAAAGGCAACCACCAAAAAGACTGCAGAGAAAAAAAAGTTGCCAAAAAAGGCAACAAAGAAGGACTCAAAGAAAACAATCAAAACACCAAAGAAAACTGCAGCCAAAAAGAAGACTGTCAAACAATAAATGCTGATGTTTCCTCCAATTGTAATAATTAACTGTAAATTCGACGCTTCACTATTTTGATACTAGCTATACAGACAATAAATGAATAAAAACAAAGTAAATATGTATGGCTACTTATTTAGTGAAAAGAAAATCTATATACAAGAAATGCTTTCTCCAAAATTCACGATAATCCAGCAATTCGTGTTGTATTTAAAGAAAAAGTGTTGACATTTATAGCGCACTTTGGCTCTTATTATATTTATATAACATATACAGCAGGGGTCGACAACCTACGGCCCGCGGAGCACTATAATCCGGCCCGCGACGCTTCACTAAATTATAGTAACAAAACATCCGTTTCGACGAATATATTCTTTAGACTCAATTAAAGGGTCCAATAAATCGATATTCTATTCGAGAGATGTATCACTGCTTGATTTTTATTATAAAAAATACCATCCGTTCGGTTTTTCAACCTTCTAAAAATATGTGTGGCCCGCCAATGACTTGCAACCTTAATTTTGGCCCGCGAGTGACAAGAGGTTGCCGACCCCTGATATAGAGGCTTATCATATGGCGAACCACGGCCAATTTATGTCGGGTGCGGGATTAGTTAGTCAGTTTTTTTTTCAGTCGGATGCATGAACTTAATGGTATAGGAAGCCGTTACCTGAACCACCCTATGGCGGCGAGGTGTCCAACAATCCTCCCGCACATGATTAATCCCACGAGATTAGAAACTACGCAGGGTAATCGAGAGGTGTGGTGACAAGCGTATTCCTAACGCCTAGCACGATGCGCCACACATCACAATGTTTGGCCATTTATCGACTCGCAAGTACCTAAATATTTTTCGAAATAATAACTAGACAGAATTACCTTAGATCAGGGGTGTGCAACCTTTATTACAGGCGGGCCAAATATTGATAACTGGGTGAAACCGCGGGCCGCACCTTTTTTACCATAAGATTTCTAGCAGTTGCATGTACAAATATTTTGTTTATTGATCTTATGACATGCGTTGTTTGCTTCGCACAAGCTAAGCTGTTCGGGCATTGTAACTTAATGGGCATAGATAATAAATGGGACTTCGTTATAGGCTTTGCAAAGCAGAAGCAGATACTTTCTATAATTTTGTAGGGGCGAAATTGAATCGTCAACCAAGACACGCGGTGTCGTGTTGGCACATTGTTACGTCACAATAACCGTTCGAATTTGTCAATCTCTTAAGATTTTAGAATGTCATTTCGATATTTGCGCGTCACTAAATCGAACCCTTGAATTCAATGATATTTTCCCACGGCTCTTGCTAACATATAAAAACTACAGATTTGTCGATATTATTTTTCCGTCGTTTCAACTACTAATTTTGCAGCTTTTCGGAGTTTTCATCCAATGCGAAAACAAGACAGACGCAGTAAAAAGAGTATAAGTATTCAAGTATAAGTATCAACTTCATAAATATCACATTCCACTGTAAGTGAAGAAAATATTGTTCGTATGAAATTCGGACGCTTAGTTCACAAACGGTGATGATGAATACAAAGTCGACGAAAAAGATAAAATCAGAATAAAATAGCTCGAGTCCTGAATTTACTCATTAGTAGTTGTCCTTGTAGTGTAGTTGTCCTTGTACTTAGTAGTAGTGACATACGTCACCGATGTGAATGCATAGTTCTGGCAGATTTATAAAACCAAACGTCGACATCCCCTTTATGTAAGAATTGTCAATTGTAAAAGAATAAACGGGCAGTAATTTAAATTACAAACATTAGGATGGCGAGCGTCCTGGTTTTCTAAAAATATTCTGTTGAATTATTCGGGTCGATAAATATATTTGCGATTGAGCAACTTTTACGGTGAAATACATGGTCGTCGTAACACCGCTACAATGTAACTTGGTAAAAACTTTATTTAATTTAGTGAAAAACTCTCCATATGATGCGTGCTAGAGTAGGCGATCATTCCACATCTCAAGCACCGAATACGGTTATATTTTATGTCGTTTTTGCGGTAAGAAAATCTTATTTTAATGAGTGTTCTAACTTCATTTGTAAAAAAGCCTTACAGTATAGTAACGGCAAACTCATAACGTGAAAATTTGTGTGGTGAAAATTGTTTATAACAATTTAAAACCTAGTTAGTTAGTTCAGAGATAATAGTTAATTGTCGTAAGGAACTATAGTTTGTTCACCTCTTTCGACAATAACACTATTGAATGGATTTGGCAATGGGAGAACAATAAAAACGTTTGCAAAACAGTAGGGTGTAACGCAGGATGAACAGGCAATACGGAATCGCAGGATTGGCGGTGCCTGTGAAGACTACGTATTACTCGTTCAGCCGGAATTGGAATAACTCTCACATACCAGGTCAAACTCGATTAAAAACTCGTTTTGCGGGCCGCATATCATTCAATATTGGCACTTCTCCGCGGGCCGCATAATTTTGCCTTGCGGGCCGAATTTGGCCCGCGGGCCGCAGTTTGCACACCCCTGCCTTAGATAATTAGCGTTATCTCTCTTTTCAGTCCATTATCTCGAAGATATTGTACAGGTCGCAAGTGCGATCAGATTTACTGCGCGTCCTTGTAGCAAAATCAGACAAATGTTATCAAATAGTGACCAGGTGAGCTCCTGGCGACGTATTTTGAATAAAACGAAAGCCCCAAAACTAAGCAACGATAAAATACTTTTTTATTCATCAAAATTATCCAAGGTAACAACACAATAGCGAGAAAAATAAGTATATTTCATTATATGTTTGAATAAAAAACTGTTCAAGGACAAAGAAGCACCAACAACTACGTTTAATTAAAAATAAAAAAAAATCATTATCAAATGGAAATTTTATGGGAAATGTCAAACAGAAATAAACTGTAGGAATTGTTACCCAACCAATGATGATAATACTATAGCATTAACCAAGCACGTGCTAAAACGGTTGTATCCATATAAAACTTATACTAATTGAAATAGCCTTAATAGCGGGAAAAAGGTTACTTCAGAAATACATTACCAAAATACAGAATGCACACAAATTTGATACAGGGTTGGATCATACCCTCCTGAAGAAGACTTGAATACCCATAGCTTGGCATACAACAAAATACTACTTTATACAGTGGAGAAAAATTATCTATATTAATAATTGAAAAAAATAATTCTAGGACGTGATAAAACTGCTGCTTTAAGTACGATTACGGTGAAGTGAAAAGCTAAATTTGGCTTAATATAGTTCACAGGTGAAGCAAGAACAATGAAGCAAAAATGAGAAAGAAATTCACATTGTGAAGTAATGAAGCTGACACGATTTTTTCAAAATAACACAATAGGAAAATGGATGTTTTTTTTCTCTAACTTTACTAGATCTATGAATGTTCTCGATTATCGGAATTAAAACTCTTTAGTTTGATAGAAAAAAAAAACCAATTGTAATGAGGAAGTATGCAACTGGAATTTAAATGTACTGGAATTTTATACTAGAATTCATCAATTAGTCCAAAATCTGGAATATATATATCAATGTCGAACGCTGATTTTGATCACCTAAAAACACAATGTTGCAAAAATTCCAGTTTAAATTATGACGTTTCCATATCTCATTTTTTTTGGTATGTTAGGATAAGATTTTTAAATGGCATGGGAGAGCAAAGTTGAGAATTCAGCTCAATCATATATCGAACCACTGTTTCTCACCAAGATACCAGTTCATGTCTGGTATGGGGATAGTTGACCAGTTATTTGTTACAAACGCATGGACTTGGAATCACGTTTCAATCAATTCAACTAATGTATTGATTATATCAAATAAAACTTTGAAATAAGATTTTAAAAAAATGATGTCATAATTGAATCACACTAACTATAGCGATCACAAATGATTAGTTCAATACATGTTATGCAACCAGAAAGAAATGAACATATGGCACAAGAAATTAGAAAAGCGATATGTAACAATGCTGAAAATTTCATTTTAATGCTGGTTTATGACATAAAAATTGACTCACAAAATGAAAATAGCTAAATTGACAGGGCGTAACACCGCCAATGTGTCAATGTCAAAATAGCAACCTATTGATAAAATCTGGACTCAGTGATAATTGAAATAATTTAAATTAAATGTTCAAACCTTATCTGGAGGAACTGAATGATGGAAACATGATAATGTAAGTGATTAAAAAGCAAATATTACAATAGCAATAATTAGTTTGAAGTCATAATCATGTATTGCACTGTTCGCATTGATTACAAAAAAAAGTACCGTTATTTTGATTCTCCGAAGACTTATTAATAATGGCCTCTTTTTAGTAAGATAGTATTAAAAGTAGTTTCAAGTAATGAACAGAATTATGAATTTTACTATAAACTTTCTTTACCATCAAAGCAATTTCATCCAATACACAAGAATAAGAAATGCTCAAGCTTGCCTTATAAAAATGCTATATGACGAACTGTTAAGGCTTTTATATCTATATTACAGTAAGGTAATGTGCTTGACAAAAACATTCATCAAACGACTAAGTTCACTCATTGTGAAGTACTGCATTTGAAGAGATATAATAAAATAAAGCAATGCATTATCATACATGGCAAAAAAATTGCATCATGTGGGCTGCAGTACAGATGACACAAAACAGTGCAAATACAGATAGACAAAAATCTAGCAAGAAAAATAGCACCATACAATATAAATATAACCATGATAGCCTACATCTGCATCTAAAAAAGCTATAATATAGATAAAAGTAACTTTGCTGGAATAGATATGGACAGAAATATTTGCCTGACGTAATTTAGTAAATTTTTCAAGCTCGAGTAAGTAATACTTTCTGGATAATCGATTCCGATATACTTTAACGTGAGAAAAATGAGCAGTATCTTGATCAAATGTTTCTGCCAGTTCAAAGTCATGTTTATAAAACCTGTCTATTGACACACAATAGTAGGTTTATTGCAACTGTTTCAAGTTGGCCTTCAATATACAGGGTGTCCAAAAAGTTTCGCCCGATGATAAAGTCTTAATAACCAAAGTTTTTTTTTTTTTTAACTTTAAAAAAGATTTTTGGACAACCTGTTTCTAATTGGACAACATCTAATTGTTATAGATGTTGAATGTTGTAGTCCCCATTTATCATACAACAAAATTCATTCAAATTTGCAATTGGTAATGCTATGAAATCGGGCGGAACTTTTTGGACACCCTGTATGTTAGGTATTGAAAATGGTTTGTGACATTCATAAATAGGCCATATCTATTATCTAAATAAGCCTTTTCATGCCTTCATTCTGTACAGACAATCATCTCTATAGTGGGAGTATTCAAGAAACAAAAGCTAAACAAATAATAAGAGCAGTGCAGAAGTACAGATACTTTTTCAAATCAACTTAAGTTGGCCGGTCGAACATAAGATATTAGTACTACATATACAAAAATATAATAGATCCCTGTTACCAAGCCCAAAATCAAAACAGGTTTTTAGACCGTCAGGTAATAGACAAGCAGTTTGGTAGTGCAAGTGGCAAAATTGGATGAAGGAATTGAAGCTGGTGTAAGATGATGAAATGCCAGACTTGGCACATACTTATCAGAAAATAACATTGATAAGGATGAAACAACACTATTCACCTTTGCCTCTGTGTTAAACATAGCGCTAAAGAAAACGAGTCTAACTCAAACGTAATTCTGATATCAAGATTACTTTTTATACAAAAAATTTACTACATAGCAGAAAAACGCTGCTTTATGCCAATTTTTGTGAGAAAAGATAAAAATTTATTGTAGAGAGAAATTCTAAAATACCTAAATTTTCAAACATCACAGACAGTTATTGATTCTCTTTATATTAAGTTCCTATTATTCATATTATAATAAACATAGTTCAAAATGTACAGATACATTCGGTAAACTTATTAAGAAAGAAGCATAAAAAGCCAGCTAGTTCAGGATGGCAAATTAAGGCAGTGGTTAGATTTGAATAAAAAGAAAATTACAGGAAAAAATTATTAATAATAATAATTTGTCAGTTTATTTAAAGTCAGGTTATTGATTGATTATTATATGCATATATCATGAATATTCATTCTTTAATGGACAGATTTCATGCTAGTTACATTTGGAGGATTATAACCCAAAAGGGAAAATCTTAAAAAAGTTTTTCTTGAAAATATGAACAAAAAAGTATATTTCCCACACTTTTTATTGAAATACTTAGTTGAGCATGCTCCAAACTATCTTGAGACCTTAAAAATCTATTTATTTGTTATATTTTCAACTAATTTTTTTTTCAATATCAACATTCGCCCTTTGTCTTGAAACCCTCAATTTGTCATTCATGCCTCTCTGAGATCATGTATGTGCCGTGTCGTCCACTGATCACTCTGCCAGGATAACATCTCAGTCGATCAAATTCAGAATTCTTTCCTATTCCATGTTGGACTATAGAAAATAGCTCGCTAATCCAGTTAAAAAAGCCGTCACCTGTCACGGGACGCACTTACTGCAATATTAACTTGTTTACGCTCTATTGAGCATGCTGTCCGTTCATCAGTGTCTAACCACTGACTACTGCAGTCTATGTCGTGCCATTTTGTTAATAAAGCATATTCTGGAGCACGAAATACGTCAAGACCAGATGTGAGAGATTTCTGAAACAAATCCTCCCCACTAAAAAACAAATACAAGAAATTAAATTGGAGAGAAATGAACATACAATGCAACAGAATATATCAGGGATTTTCAACTTTCAAGCTCGCTGCTCCTTCCAATATATTAAAATTTTCTGCGCCCCTTGTTAAGTTGCAAGCACGCTGCTTCTCTGATCCTATGTATTCTCTCGAAATCGTGAGATTTATGTTTCGCACTAGTTCAAATAATTGTGTTTTGAATCGAAACTTAGATATAGTACTTTGTGTGAAATTGGTGTACTCCTTGTGACCCCTAGATTTCGTTGCACACCCCCCTGCAGTATCGTGACCCCTAGTTTGGAAAGCCCTGGTGGCTGGAATAGGTTATTCTTAACTTGTTTCCTGGTATTAATGTGTCAAAAAGTGAACAAGTCAGTACCACCACCGGTATATAAATAGTTAGCATGAGCGAAAAAAATAAAATAATTTGAAGTTGAGGGCAGGTAGATGGGTTTGAGGAAAGGCTAAAATCGAATTATGTATTATTTCGAATACATTCCAAAATTTTAATATGGAATATATTTTAAATTACATCATGTTCAACAAAAACAAGTAGAAATCAATGTTTTTTGAATGATTTTGAAATTTGGAATGCAGGAGAGTTAATAAGATAAACAGAGATTCGATTGGTTTACTATACTTTAGAGCAGTGGTTCTAAAGCGGTGGGGCGCGCCCACAAATTTTTTTTGAGGGGGGTGAAGTTAATCAAAAATAATTCGTTGGATTCAATCTTGCCTGCCTTAACATTCAGAAAACTTTTCATTTATCTCATTATTTACGTTCCATCCATGTATTTTCAACTGTTTTTTTTTCCGAATAAAACACACTTTTGCCTCACTATCTGTTATTTATAGCTTAATGATAGCTAGTTATTTTTGAGGTGGGGCGCGAGACTCGATAATTTCTGCAAAGGCAACACGGCCTAAAAAGTTTGAGAACCACTGCTTTAGAGATTTTCGGTACTTGAAAGGCCTTTATTGGTTGCACGTCGAGTCGCAAGTTGAGTAGGCTATTTTGTTCAGATCACCCGAGTAATGTCGAGACTCAAGTCCTTGTAAAAGGTCTCCACTTCACAGCCTTCCGAATAATTAATAACTTGGCCAATGGTTGGCTAAATATCAGATGAATATCTCAGATCATTAATACCGGTACTCAAAATGATGATGAAATTCCAAAACATACAAAAAAAATTTATGCAACTACATTACCTGGTAAACTTATCACCACCACACGCTTGCATTATATCTTGCTTATAAGAACAGAAGGTACTGTAATCAAAGGATCTCCAAAATCCTTTATTAAACATTATGTTGTCCCCATCACGATTCTGAACGAAGGAGGACAGTCAGGCAAAAACATAGAACATAAAGAAATTGTTTGATTTCAGTGCATATTTTTAGCTCTCATATATAAGAAGCCAATTTGGGCCCTCTCGCCAAAAACTCTGTTTTTAAATGGCCATAACTTTGGAAATATAGATTTTCCAACCAAACGATTTGTTATCAGCTCACAATGAAGAGTATCTCCTGGATCACTACATAATCTTCATTTTTCAGAATTATTAAGATTGGATATACATGATAAAACTTACAATATCTTTATATAACTGGAATGAAACTGGAAAGAACAATCTCTCATGTGGAACTGTATTCAATCTGACATGATGCAAGTATTCAGGAGACATCTAGAAGAAAAATATTTGTAGGTGATCATATTTGTGCTATGGTTAGGGATGAAGTTCTACGGCAATACCCTGAGATTAGGCTCTGGCCCATCATGCCAAGCGTCAGGAGTTCAATTGCCACAGTATTTCTGACTACCATGCAAAGGTTTGCAGATTTGAATCCTTATGTGCAAGAAGATTGCTGGATTCCTCGATATCATAGCATAGTGGTTTGGCAATGTCACAATATGCTGTATACCTGAACGACCAGATAATTGAGTAAAAACAATTAAACGAGGATGGACAATATAAGTTTGATTTATTTATGAGTATAAAACTCTGGTGAAACACTTTGGTCTTTTTATATGGCGCACTAGGGTGACACGACACACACTTTGGAAACATCTGTCGTTGGGTGGTTTACTTAACCAGTGACTGGCTACGTCTTCTACCACAATAAAATGCCATGATATCTGAAATCCGACAACTGCTTCGTTAGCTATTCATACACCTGACCTGAATTGGTTACCTGTAGAGCTAAGCATTCAAATCAAAAATATTTTTTTCAAGAAATTCAGCGTATGACTCTTTCCCAGTGTTACTTATTGTGTGTAAACAAACGCTCATAGAACGATCTGAGTAAAGGATTCTATGATTTCAGTCATTTATGCGTCTGGAGGCCACATTGCAATAAAAAAGTCACATATAATTACATAGGCTATCGTCCAAGTATTTGAGATTCAATTCAAAATTTTTTTTTTATTCAATTCTGAAATCATTCGAAGGTATTCGAAAATGCCTAGTTAACAGTCAAAGGGATCTGGTTTGCCATATAATTTGAGGCGTCTCCAAGGTCTTTCCCCTGTCCATGGATCAATATGCAAAATCTTATGCTAATCCTATCTTAATACCATAAGGTAACATGCCTAGAATAATCCGATTTATATAATCCTATTTTAAAAAAAAACATATGTTTAATAAACATTCATGTGACTGATGTCAGCACAATTTTTTTTACATTTAATTAATTTGGAGGATACGACTTAAGAGTTCAGAAAGATTGAAAATAGTTAATATCATTATACCACTAACCTGATTATCTAAATGTAGAGAACACACTAGCGTGTCAGATGAAAGAGCAAGTACTGCCATCTCCACTGCTTTTATATGTGAAAAAGAACTTGTTCCTGAATTTATCCATCTGAAAAGTAGAAGAGTGTGTTAGCAATGCTAACAAACATAAAAACAAAGTGACTTTAACATGTCTTTTTTTTATATCTAAAACCACCTTAAAGATAACTTTGGATATTTCTGTTTGTATGTATTGAGTAAAGTCAAAGCACTTGATGTTTTCTCATCCAATTCTTTTACATCAGATGTAGTATTAGTTTTACTTGATCCATATAAAACGACGAGGAGTCCAACGTTTTGTGGTTGGTCGGCCGACATACAAGCCTGCAAAATATTTATAGCTTTGATTAGTAAAATCTATCAATCATCTGCAATCAATGATCACTGAAAATTTTTTTTAACGAAAATAAAAGGTAAACGAAAAGGTAACGAAAATAACGATTGAGGCACACTAAATATGGTAGTCTAAATTTAATCTCCAAAACAGATATTTTGCAAAGGTAAATTTTATGACACTTTATCTTTTGTAGGATCATAAGTAGTCATCCGTAGTCGGATTCGGAGGGTTCGCACAAACTCATTGCTGGAATGCCGCGATAATAATCATCAAACCCGCGCTTTTTTCATTGGTTTGTGCATTAGACGAAAACTCAAATACAGCACATGTGATCACTTTCATTATATTTGGCAATTCGAAAGATGTTTATTCGATTCATGTGAAACGTGTTCTATTGATGTAGCTATGAGGTGGCAATGCATCAGTATATATAACATACAGATATAGCTATATAAGTTTGGCATAAATTTTTGAAATGTGGAACCTATACTTAGTGAGTTTTATACAAAAAAAAACCTGTTCTCAAAATTTTGAAACCCATTCCTGGATATAAAAGGCACAAAATTTCAACGATGCTTAAGAGAAATTTTATCATACAATGGTAAAGATCTCAAACAAATGTACCATAGAGTTATTAATTTGCTACATTACATTCTACAAATATACAATGTTTGAACAACTACCTGACCCGACCATAAATCCATTGTCATCGGACGATTTAAGTGCCCACAAACAACAAGCTTATTTGCTTATTCTCGGTGGTAGGCGTATAACCGCACTGACAACAAAGTGCCAAACAGAAGAAATACCAATTGAATTACAAATACCCAATGTAAACATAGATGATACTGGTACATTAATAAGTATGAGCTTGGAATGATGGAATACTATAGTGTAGGAATATGCGAAAAATAAATGAATTCAATTTAAAAAATAAGCAAGATTCAAATTGGTATTGGGTAAAATTTCTACATCTTTTGAGAATATTATACCCAAAATGAATAAAACTTATACGCAACATAGTAAGTAAAAACAGTTATTACAAAGTCCATCAGTGCAGTACATACAAGAGTGGCCTCTAACCTTGGTCAGAGAAAATGAATAAACTACTAGAATACTGACAAGCTGTCGAACGTTTTCCTTAGCAATTTTTCCATTCCAATTGGTCCAAAATAGAATAATATAATTTAATGATAACTATTTCAGCATTTCAATAAACTGAATATATCACTTAAAATATGAATTGAGGTGTATCAGTCTTTAATAATTACGGTAAGTATCTGATTCTTCCAAATTAGTTAGTTCTTCACCTGTTCAAACATTTGCATAAATTCTTGAAATTTGGGTGAACCATCTTGCATTGGTAATATAAAGGTAATCTTAACATTAGGTGCTGTACGAGTTCCGTATGTTATTACTCTTCCATATGGCTGGTTCAGACAAACAGATGCAACCTGAATATTTGAGGTGTCAGAAAATAATTGATACAAAACAGTTACCTAAATAATAAGGGAAAAAGGATTGTATTAAATGTTTAATGAAATGCTGAAAGAATTTTACCAGATGTCATATAAAGGTGTGCAAAAGAAAACAGCAGAATTTGAAGCGGAATAATGGGTCCCGTAGGACTCGAGGAAATAAACTTGGAAATTTGGAATTGACTATACCCTTTTAAATTATGATGACCATGCATGAAATGGCTAATCACGTGCCACCGGGCGGGCATTAGGAGACATGTTTATCACAAAATGAAGGCGAGAGAAATATCGGGAAACAAATTAAGCCGGGAGCGAGAGTGGTCTAAGCTCGGAACGCCGCCGCTTGCCCGATGAAAAGCGTCCTGCAAAGGTGGTTTCCGCTTTATGTACCTAATTTTAGCGATTCGAAAATTAGCCGAAAAACGATTCGAATAATTTGCGATTCGATTTCGAATATTTGGTTCGCCTGGAGAGCCCTATTCTCTACCAATGAAAAATCAGCTTTTACATCGGGCGGGTATTCAAGCACCGGCCCTTATTTATTTTTATGTTCTGTTCACACTGGCGGCTATTCAAACGGGCCCTTAATCAAGATCGGGCGGTAAAACGAGCATATACGATATGCATTTGAATGATAGAGTAAGCCATAACCAATCTGCGAAAGCAACTTTCTGCACAATCATTTTCCACAAGCATGTAGATATTAGTGGTTCAATAGTAAGCACTGCCTAAGACTTTCAAATATTTGAATATTTTATTTTGCAGCAAAAATGTGTGAACCATAATATTCAATATTTAGGTTGGCCCTTAGCAAGCTTACATGGAACAGCAATAAAAGTTTCATCAGTATGATTATTTTCACATTGCAGGCTATAAAAACTACCTTTTTTGTATCTTTAGTAATATCCACCATGTATTGGTATCCCACCCCAGGTATCACTTTTCTATACACACTGCTGGTATCAATATGTGATTCTTTGTCATCATCGGTAAAATGATTTTCCTGGAAGAGAAAATACAAACCATTGAGATCAAGATTAGCGCATTGTTTCTATAACTAAATCTCAGCAGAAATTGAAAAACTAAGTACAAATGCTTCATTTCCATGCTGGTATTTCAAACATTTGGAAACAAAAATGTGACTTGGAATCAGCGATGCCCAAAATGAATCGAATATTTGAATTCATTTGAAATTCAATATATTCGTTAAAGTAAATTTTTGAATTTAAGAATAATTTATGACCATTTGTATTAAAAAATTTGAAATATTAATCCGCCATAAAAGCAGATGTAAACGTACAAAATATCTCAACTGGTCAGAAAACAATGCCCTCTATATTTATGCCGTTTTGGATATGATCAAAATGAAAATATAGTGATTTAAATAATTTTCCACATGAACTTGCCCCCAATTTAGAATGCATTCAGTATTCCATATTCGGTTTTAGCCATCCCTGCTTTGAATTACAATTCACAAAATGTATTACACAGCATCAGGAAGTCAATATATGAATTAGCCTTAGTTTATTGATTGTACGTTATCAGCAAAAATGATGCAACACCTATTTAATGACTCAATCAACTGTATTCAATATATGAAGGCAACCACACAAAAGCCTCTCCAATACAAGTACTAAAACAAAGGATATTGATTGATGGTGTCATAGTACCAAAACACTGACAGCATCGACAACACTCAAAATGACAAGTGTTTACTGGTATTTGGAACTATTCTGTTTGTGAATGCAGCTGTCTAGTGTTTAAAGTGTTACACCAAACCATGATGGTATCGCATGTTAAAATTTCAAATCCCATGCGCTTTGCCTCACACATAATGTAATAAATCGGGTTTACTATGCTGACCGGAGAAGTTATTGTTTTTTCAAGTTATAGAAGCTCTTCACTTAGCAGCAGTAGCTTGGACAGAGCCTTGTTAGGAGCAAAAAGCATATAAATACTGAATACGTTATATAAAAAATATTAGACTACGGTTCGCTGTAGTAGACAATAAGGAACTATGCCCTCATTTTGATATACGAAAACGATACTCCCATAGTGTGTGTACCAGGTTAGGGTTAGGCCATAATGTCTGTGTTAGCCAAGTGAATATACCCCCTGCCCATAGGCTTCAGTCCCGTTACACAACAAAGTAGGCGAACAAAATTAGTTACCTCCATATTGGTGCACACACTTGCCAAATGTTTATACGTTTCACTGAACACATGAGCCTCCAGGCCTGTTGCATTTAAAAAATTTCCCACAATGACTTAAATCCAGTAATATGTTTATTGATAGAGTGTTATCAAATTCTAAATATTCACCATGACATGTTTCATTGTAATTTCTCTGACATCACTCAAAGCGATATAATCATGTCCGATCACTTCGCGGGATGGTTCTGAATGATCTGTTGATAAAATAATGTCCTTTGATTTTCCTGGCTTTCCTTTGAATACCTTTTGTATTTTTTCCCAAGGTACAATGTCTGGATGGTGATACCTACAATAAATACAATAGAGCAATGCTCAAATTTTTTGATTTATGGACATGAAAGTCACATGACTACCGAAATGTCTTCAAAATTTAAGTTGTAGAATTGTACCGGATGTCTTATAATTGTGTTCCCACAAATTATAAAAAACAGCAAAATATGGAATCTAGTGAATTCTTCCATATTTGTTAAGTACTGAAAACTTAAAATTGATTATTCTACTAGTCACAATGGAAAGTTTTTTTTTTCACAATCTCAAACGTCCCAGTAAAACAGTCTATAGGTCTACTTTTGTGTGAATAAAACAGTATATAATTTAACACCAGCATAAAATTTTTAACATAATGGTGTGAGATTATTGAAGATATGGATGTTACAAATTATTCCATTACTCGAATCGATTTTTATTTTGGTAATCTTGTTTTTTTTTTTAATACCAAAGTTCTTATATTCCAATATCACATAAAATCTAAAATTTCAGATGCCATAATGTAGAAAGCTAATTTGCCTTGCAGTTCTGTGGAATCTGGAAAAGATTGCAATCGACACTGGCACAAGGATAAAAAAAAGCATTTGATTCCTACAACGAGACATAAAAAACTTTGAATCCTAAACCTGCTCCAAACTCACAAAATTTAAGGTTGATAGAAAAAACACCGGCAAATGCAAGCTATCAATATACTGTTAATATTATTGCTTAGTAAACTAGATGCATTCTGAGTTTCTGAATAAAAGCCATGATTTGCAATTTAGTATACATTGCAATCTTCAGACAAACCAAACATACAGATATACCAGTCTGCATTAAAATCTTCTTAAAAAGTTGGACTTTGTTAAGAAATTCATGGAAATCGAATCAAATATTATTTGATAGGCCATACAAAAAATTCATTAAGCTTAGTAAGGAAGGAACGATTCAGGAGGTAATAACATTATCACATTTTTATTACATACTTGTTAGCATTGCCTTCTCTTCCAAGCACTAATCTATCATCAGGCATTCCACCTTCCTTAACTAAAACTCTGTCCATTCTTTGTACAATTGAATGGTAGTACTCATTATTCCTGAAAAATTTTAACAAGTGAAAAATGTGAATGTAGTTTGAATGAATATATAACACTGCAAAAATAATAGAATCCTGAGTATTAAAAATTTATTTCTGCTGCAATTGGAAACAAAAGTCACAATTTACAATGTCCAGAACAAATCAAAATTCCATCAAAATTAATTAAATTTTTGATTTTAGTAATAAATTGAAATAGCCATCATTCTGGGCAATTAAGTCTCACAGTACAACTAAAAACGGGCTTGTTTTAATTTCAGAAAACTATAAATAAATGGAAAACCAATTCAACTTCATAAATTTCCTGCATTTCCAAATTCAGACTCAATATGCCTTCTATGTGTTTTGTCTTGACCATGACCATTTTTTATGCCATTTATTCAGAATAGCAAGATATTCGGATTTGACCATCCTTGCTATTAATATTAATCATGTAGATTAGTGAGTACAATGGCATAGTTGTTCAGGCATCGAGCAGATGAGAGATCGTTTTTAACCAATGCAATAATAAACCATGAATAAAAAATTTGCTTTTCCTTTCAATCGGAAAATTCCTACTAACCTTGTTGTATGATTCAATTGTCTTTCAATAAAATATTGATGCAAAACATACAATGCTGTTTCGTCAACAATCGGATTTACAGTTATACTTGTAGAAAAAGAACGAGCCTCAAAGAATGGATTGGGAACAAAATCAGACATGTAGAAAAGAGATCTCGCCTAGAAAAAGTAGAATAAAAATGATAATACAACAAAAACGCATGACTGCCATTTTTGGAGTCAACCATTACTTTGTTGCAAATTTATGTAAATGTTAACTCTTCACTAAGATACACACACAAGCATCTGGGAAATTTGTCACCATAGAATAAATCACAAATATTCCATTGTGTGACAAAATTTGAAATTCCATGAAGTATATTACAATATAACATCCATATAAAACAAGACTGTGTTGAAAGGGCGTCATTAGCGTTTTTTTAATCAACCAATAAGATGCAATTTTATTATACACATAAATAGAACAAATATTCTATACCATACCTCATTAGATTTAGTGCAATTAATATTTAAAAATCTTCTGAAGCATCTGGACAATTCATACCCCGGTCTTTCATAATCTCTGTTATATAAAGCCTCACAAACTTCTAAATGTGGACAGAGACCTTGCATGGTTCGTCTCGATAATATAAATCCAGGACCGGAATGACAGAAGTAATCAGGATCATTTGTATAATATCTTTGTTTAAGTGGTCGATACGTACCATGACCTGTGAAAAGTTTTGCAAATCAATGCTAAAACAAATTTCCAACAAAACACAGGCATTACAGAAAGCGGAAAGATATGTAAAGTGAACAATATTTCTGGAAAAGCCCATCAAAGCAAACAACCAAATTCTATATATTTTAGGACCACATTATATATTTACAATTAGAAATTTACTCATAAGAACATGAGTTTTACCAGGCGCATTGACATAAGCAAACACCACAAAGCAGAAATACGTGATAAAGAAGTTTGGGAGAATTATGCACCAGAGAAAAAGCTGACTGATACAATGTCCAAAAGAAAATGTATAATCCATTGAATAATGAGAAAAGTGAAGGCCTATTCTGATAATGTTATAGCATTCAAAAAATCTGATATGGCAATATCTAAGCAAATAAACGATATAGAGGCATACACATGGTCAATGGAGTGAGTTGACATAACCTTGCAAAAACAAGGACCTTGCAATACGAAAAGTTCAGCGACTTAAAACCCCACAAATTTGAGTCCTAAAAAACTTAAATCCTTATGGGTATATTTGAAATGTTGAGCATAAGAAGCTAACAATTGATCATTCAGAACGGAAGAAATTTACTTGAAATGGGAAGAGCATTACTATTCTATTCAAAGGTGAATCATAATTGAAATTAATAATTAAAAAAAAGTATCAACAACCAAACCACAATTAAGGCTAGAGAATGTTAATAAACACAATTGTCCACAGATTGAATCAAACAAAATCTTTACTCACCTATCCACATTATATCTGTTTCATTAAGTTGCATAGTAAAATTTAGTAGATCAGAAGTACTGATGTATGTATCACTGTTACCAATGTAATAAAAATGATGAGTATCTATATATTGACTACAAATATCCCGCAATATTTGGTACATCATATGAGGTGATGGAAGGTCTGGTAACTTTGATGAACCTGTAATTTTAAAATTAGGCATATATAATCATGTAATTACCGTACATATAAAGTATTTTATATAAAGATACTAGCACATGAATTAAGAAATACTGATAGCTTTATTCAGAAATGAGCAAGTCTGACCAGTGACCAGTGACCGATCAAAATACACACATGTTATAGAAATATATCTTAGGTAATTGAATGTTGAATAAATTAAATAAGTAAAATAAATATATTAAAATAATAAATTTAACATATATATGATATTTAATAATCAAAAATAATATTTTAAAATGTATTCAGAATAGTAAATTATCTGAAAGACCAGGTTAGGGCTATCCCTGAAAATGGGTTCTTTCACTTCCAAATGAGTATGTTTATTTGACCGTGCTTATGTCAACTTTCCATAACAAAACTTAGAAAATGTTGTCTTTGTACTTTCGTCAAATTATGATAACAGCAATACCAATAAAAGAACAGAATATTTGAAACCTTGCTTTCTTGTATTTCATATAAATGATGACACACACATACTAAATAATTGATGACAAATTCAATGAACGAAACATAGTTTATAATTGTGAAGAGATAGAGAAAGTTCTTTATGTTTATATTTTGAACAGTAAATACCTGATAATGTTTGATAATTGTATCCATTTGTTTTTGGAATATCATATCCTAATGTTGAATAGAATGTCATATCACCGGGTTTCAATCTTCCCCATGCTAAAATATCAGATAAACAACAAATTTAGACTTAAATGGTGGTGATGGTGGTGGAATGGGGTAAAATGGATAAATGAAACAACTACAAATTGTAGCATACAATAAGGAGCAACAATGAGGCTATAGTGGACAAATTTATTTTTTATTTTTACTTTTGTTCTGAGTAACACATACAGGAAACTATCAATTTCTAAATTGATTCAATACTTTAAGTAATTTATTTGATAAACTAACATGTCAATTCGTTTAAATTATCTAATTGAACGATCTTAATAACAAATATATACCGTAGTATGCGCCTATTCAGTTAAATGGTGAAGAGAATGAATAAATTATTGGTAATTACCATATTAAAAACCAACTCCAAAGAAACATAATTATCACCCACTGACAATTAATTTTAGCAGAAACGATCTTCATTGAAATTCAATGCAAACGCTCACCTTCACCCCATGTGGTAGGAACCAGTTTAGAAATTCTTGCTGTGAGGGGAGAGAAACTAACAATCCCTATAAACAATTTCTTTTTAAACTTGAGTTCTTGAGATAGATAAGCAGGAATTCTCTGCGAAGCTGTATTAATATCCCAGTCCAAGCTCTGAAAAGGCAAATTAATGTTAGTCATCCAAAACTTACAGTCTCTTAAAATGAATATTTGACCTTAAATCAGTGATTTTAATCAGAGTTTCTCACAACCCTAGAGTTACACCAGCACAGTCAAGGGTTCCGCAATGACTGCAAGTTTACATTCAAACCCATGAGTATATATTATTGAATGAATACTGTTTAAACATAATCAGGTACACGAGTATAATATAATCATTGTTCTGTGGCAAATTTCTTGTTAACAAATATAATCATATAATCAAATATACATATAATTAATTGAATTGGGATTCTGCTCCACCAAAAAAGTTCCCAAAGGCACTTTGGTAATGAGCAACCCTTACTTTTGATCACAATATCAAGTAGCTTGCCAAACAAACCAACCAATGATACAATGAATATTTAAAAGAATTAAAGTTAAAATAGAAGTTAATTTTTCAGTACTGATTATCCTGCATGAAATAATTAAAATGCATATTCAAGTATGCTTAAATACAAACCTCAATAGGCAATGGGTCTGGATCAACTTCAAGAGGAATCGTTCGATTATCTTTAATATCCTTCCCATATTCTGAATCTTTCCTCTCTCTCACCAAATCAAGACCTTTCCCTGTAAAATGAGCAAAGATTACTATTTACTATCAGTGGTTAGTCATACATCAGCATATTTGGCAGATGGGAAGCAGCAATGGAAGCCTGTAAGGTTGGTAATCAACAAGCTTGAAGCAAAGTGAGTGAGGGCCACATTGAAGACAGTCTGGAAAATAGGCGAGAGCACCAAACTATACATAGTGCACTGAAAGTAAATCAAGAAAGAAACTTCACCATATTATATATACCCTGGGGGTCGGTGGGTTCAGCAGCTTCGCCCACACCCCAGAGACGATGCTCGATAGCCTCCAGGTTCCTCATCATTTACATACTAGATTGTGTAATAATATGTGACAAGTTACTCTTTATATATTAATGTACATGCTTGACAGTGAAATTCAGCTCATTCCACCACGAACTGCTTTATTCATAGAGTATAACATCACCATTGTCATTAGATGCTTGACACTTTTGATCAACACAAAGCTCTGTATGGAAAGCCCCTTGAACGACTGTGAGCCTCTGTTGTTTCGTAAGGACCAGAATCAGAATATTTCCAAGTCGTATTATACAATTAGAAAAATGTTCTACCTTCGCCATTTCTCACAGCATGAACGAAACCATCTTTGAATGCTGAGTTGGGATTTTTAACAATGTGGGAGAATAAATATCTACTTGTTATCGGGAAAAACAACATCAATGAAAGAAGCATTCCGCATCCCAAACCTGAAAAATGCACAAATTTGAATGATCAATTTGATTTCTAAATCAGCTTGTTATGTACACTGTATATTGGATAGGATTGTTTTAGCTGATTTCAATGGTGATGCTTATGTGATCATATTTTATTATTAATCATGCTGGTATTCGTTTTCTGATTATCTACATAACAGAATTTAGAATCAAAATTTTGTTACAAAGGCAGTTCTCAATATATCTTAACTTAACCAAGTTTGCTTTATTCTAATCAGTGTTTAGTTATGTTTGATGCTTATCAAATTTCTCATTATGGACACATTAAAAAAGTGGAAATAATGTAATTTTAGGTATCGTAATCCTGTAGTCAGTGAACCAAGATGGCGGACACCTGAACGTAGTATGTGCACCAGATTAGGTTAGGCGATAAATTTATTCCAATTTTCCTCATTTTAGTTCTATTACGAGTTCGGGGACTAGACAAGTGACTCCCGTCTGCCCGTAGTATTTGTACCTGAAGTTATGGCCTAACCCTAACCTGGTACACATACTACGTTCCGGTGTTCGCCATCTTGGTTCACTCACTTTTAATTGTATAACTGAGATACATTGTTTAAAATGAACCTTTATTACCTGCACAAAATGGAAAAATGCTCTTCTTCGTTTGTGTTGTTCTTGCCATTGCAACTGAGAGTTAATATACTCTGAGGGCACAACCTCACACTCAGTGGCACAACCTGACAATGTGTCAGTGAATAGCTGGTTCTTGTAGCTATCTATCAATTTATAAAATCATAAGCAAAGAAGTTCTCGACATTCTCACACAATGATAGAAATCGTATAGGCAAAGAAACCACTCTAATCCAGAGAAAATATCTCAGAACAAGACGGTGTTTGACTTTCTCTTCATCATAGTCAAGTACGGAAAGAAGTTATAGTATATACTGGAATGAACGGAATAAATTATGGATTAAAGGTAATGCAAAATATACAGATATAACAATAATACAAGATATAATAAAGTAACCAAACAGGGAGATCTCCAGCCTTTTAACATAGAACTATATTTAGATTTGTGAGAAGAGATCATGGTGAACAATTTATTAAGGTGGTAGAGCTGGCTGACGGACAACTTGACTACACGGACAACTCACCAGAGACAACTCGACTACAGAGAGGCCTAATACTTACAGACTTGTCGCAGCGCAACTGAAGTCATTACTCGATAAAAAAATGGCTCTTTTGGCGAGTGGTGTAATAGCGACCACTGTTTCAAAAGCCAGAAAGCCGTTCCGCAGGGATTTCAGGTCAATGAATATTTATTTTCAGATTTTTGAACCCACTTTGAAAATCCTGGCTGTGGCCTGATTATGAGGATATATAAACTAACTTAATCAATATAAAGTATATTAGTAATTTATCAATTGTACGTACCAAAATAAATTTTACGCTTTGAGATGTTATCGTAAATTTTGGAGTTTTTTAACAGCGAAATCTTTAAAATAATAACAAGTGGCAGCCAATATCATTACTGCATTAAGACTTATTATAGTAAGGCATTATGAATGTTATAACACTCAGTCACTCAGTAGTGCTGCAGTATTTCAGAGTAGGAATGCTTATTATTTCAGCATTTTGTCGTAAGTCGATGCAAACGCGAGATAGGCTACCGGTACCGTACCACGGTACCGGTACCGGCATACCGGTACCTTTACTTTTAAACTTCGAGTAAACCATATTAAACTATAGAAGCATAGACAGCTAGAAGTTCAGAAACCGCTAAGTCAGTAAGTTCATGGGCACTCTCCGACCCTCGATGCCTTTAACTAACTTACCGGTATGGTCCTGACCAAAGTGACTATAACCCTAGTCACTTTGGTCCTGACCAAGGGCCGGCAACCAACTTGCCTAATGTTAAACAAGTTCATGGACGCCATCTTGTGCCATATTTGGGAAACGAGAAACAATGGAGTCTTATGGGAAATTTCCGTCGTGTTGTTGTACCGAATATAAGTATAATAAGTATAAGTTTATTTCGACTCCATAATCAGCATAACAATACATTTGACAGATAAAAACAAATAAATAAAATCTGATTATGAAATCAGGGGAGCAAACAAAACCTTAGATAAGGTTTATAACGTACAAAATATAAGATGAAAGGTTTTGCCAAGAGGAAGTGGTACGTGTTTACTCACCTAAAATTATCAAGTTATTTCACACACGCTCACATGCACCCACCAGCCACACACACACACAACCACTGAGAAGTTATTTAAGTAAGAATGAAACGCGATAAATTTAGGGTATACTATACAGTAAACAAAAAAATAAATAAATACTAGAAAAGAAAATTTTCTGCCACACCATATTGATATTTTTGTAGTAGTTGCCATTGCCAAATTGATCGATCTTCTAATCGTTAATTAAGATATAAAAGGAAGATTCTATTGAAAACATATTGCCAAGCTGATTATAGTTGGAGTCAAATGCCAAGTTGCCCAACCAAAGTTGCCAGAATTGGGTGCATGAAGAGGTGGGCGAGACCATTTCATTCCCCAAATTAGAGCCTATTATTGCCAAATTATAGTCCAGATTGTAATAAGTAATTAAGTTACCGGTAACAGTAAAATTACTATAATTAAGTAAAGTAGGATGTGGAAATAAATTGGTTACAAAGGGTCTAAGTGAGGTTTTTCATTCTTGGGTATTGATTTCAGACAAGGATATGGGAATGAGGTTGTTATTTCACAGGATATCGGGAGTCTTTTTTTGTTTTTTTCCTTATGTGTTTTACTTCATTTAATCACTTTGAAGTAACCTGAAAAACAAAAAATAAAACTGCGAGTAGATGTTTCAATGATTGGGTGAAGGGGAACGCTCTGAACTATTTATTACAGGCAAAAAATAATTGTTTAATTAAATGGGATGTATTGTCATTATATAGCGATGGATAGATGATCTATGATGACATTCTGCTTGGGACAGAGAAAAATTTATCACACCATGCAAAAAACACACAAAATTTTACTATCTATACCTTGGCCAACAAGTCAACTCAAACACCATGCCTTAACATAAAACGCATGCATACATAAATGATATAAAAACCACATCCAATTACAATGACCCACAGCAAAATAAAATCTGAAGGGGAGAATCCAACATAGCTCTACTGCTCGCCTAGTTGCAATAATTAGTAACCTTGCAGGAACAATATTGTACTATCTACAACCCTTATACCACCACTCAAACATAAGACCAAGCGTGTATGATAGGGACATCACAGCTAGAAATAGATAAAAACACGAGCGTGAAGTGATAGAATGTGTGCAGTTATTTAAAGAAAATATCATCCGAGTACGTTAGCTACCTATATATTTAAAAAAATATATATATACTCATGCATGTCACAATACCATTTCTTTGGTGCTGGACTAGTTCTGGCCAAGTCGTGGCAAGATATTATTATAAATATTATTAAAATCGAATAAGTCCGCTGTTATAAGGGCTAGAATGAAACTGAAGGGTGGATTTTGAACTTTAAGATACCGGTATACCGGTATGCTATCTAAATATATAATGAAACGAGGAATAAAAACGATCTAATCCGTTAAATTGTGCTTTAAATGTAATTTGGCAAACATGAAAGGATATAAGCATGTACGGCTAAGATTCTACTTCAAAACGCGACCTTCAAAATTTTCCTACCTAAAATATTAGTGAAAATATTAGGTATGTTTCAACAATTGTGTTGGAACTTCTCACAAGGCGCAGTGTTAAATTGCCGAGAACAATAGGCACAGGGTGGCGTCCATTTTCTGAGCGTTGCCTCGCTTATATTATATATACGCTATATATAAAATAATTAAATGAAAATTACTTGCCACACCATATTAATAAATTTATAACGTTTGCCATTGCCAAATTGATAGATATTATAAATGGGAGTGAACAGTATAGATAAACTTTTATGAAAAATATATTGCCAAGCTGATTATAGTTGGAGTCAATTGCCAAAAATGCCCAACCAAAGTTGCCAGAATGGACCTTTCCCCGAGCATCGACTTCCTCTTTTACTTTGTGACATTGGCCAATCAGCAAGATGCAAAAAGTGACGTAACAATGCCCTATTTTCTCATCCGCTCAGACACTTTTCTCACTCAGACAGATTTTCAAGCGTGGTCGTAAACTTTACCTCGTTTTCGCGTTTTTGAACTCTATTCGTTAGTTTTCAGTTGTGTTTCGGAAACTTAAATATAAATCAGATAATTCAATGATCACTCTGTCTTCCTAGGAGTTTTAATTTAGTTACAGTAATAAAAAATTAATTAGTGTAGAAATAGCTGTGATGGACCAGGTTAAAAATCATTTACATGTACTTTTAAAAAACAGATTATTGTATGCGATGCATCATAATGATGGTTTGAAACACATACCCCATTTTACAGTCGCCAACTTGCAAAAGCACTCTTAAAATAGCCCCGACAATTTTGCAATGGTAAAGTATAGGGAGAATTATTCGGGGGTCAAAGGTCGGGGAAAGGTCCATTGGATTGCATGAAGCGGTGGGCACTCCATTCCCCAAACTAAAGCCTATATTTGCCAAATTATAGTCCAGTTTGTAATAAGTATTTAAAGGTACAAGTAACAGTATAAGTAATTATAATTAATAAGGTAGGACAACGGGGAATAGTAACATGTTGGTTACCAAGGTTATAAGTAGGGTTTTTTTCAATCTTAGATATTGACTTCTGCGAGGACAAAGGAATTAGGATTGTTATTTCACAGGATCATTTCTTCATTTACTCAATCTAACGCAATTGTTGTCAATTAAAATTTATCATAGGTGAGACATGAGACTGCCAATTTTGATGATGCAGACACCTATTATACAATAAGCTAGCCATTGAATTGGTCATCACAAACGACCTGAAAAACAGAAAATAAATCTGCGAGTAGAATATTCAAGGGTTACATATTAGGAAATAACACTCACTAGTCACTAATGGTTAATTATGACGATTAGAATGACCAATTTACTTCGGAAGCAACTCGAAACCGGTATACTTGTCTTCAAAGACAATTCAATGTGCTTTAAATGTAATTTGGCAAACATGAACGGATATAAGCATGTACGGCTAAGATTCTACTTCAAAACGCGACCTTCAAAATTTTTCTACTCAAAATATTAGTGAAAGTAATAGGTATGTTTCAATAATTGTGTTGGATCTTCTCATAAGACGCTGTGTTAAATCTCCGAAAACAATAGGCACAAGATGGCGTCCATTTTCTGAGTGTTGCCTCGCTTATATTATATATACGCTTTGGTCCTGACCACTGTTTCACAATTGTCAAAGTTTTGACCATTGTTAGGCCGCAGTTAGTAAACGCTCGACTGATCTTCTGTTCCGACGATTTTCTTGTCGGCGAACGCTTAGGAATTAATTAATGGATGTAGGGGCCACCATACCAAAATGTGATGTTTTGGTGCACGATACGTAGGACATTTGATAGTAATAGAAATTTTATAACTTCTTATCAGTGCCAATGAGATATCTTGAATAATGTATATGTATAAATCGTAAAAGTCGGTTAATCTTTGGAGGATGGTTTTCTCCATAATTTTCGTATCTTGCGAAATACTTATCTTAGGCATTATCAAAGTGACTATAACACTTATACACACTTTATAGTCACTTTGGGCGTGATTAAGTAGAACTTTGCATATTATTCCGACACAGAATGTGATAAAGGAAGGTTCAATTAGACTCATATTACAATATATACTTTCAGTGACAAGGCCAAGATTTTCAATGGAGAGAGAAAATTTTGATGTAACGGATTCTGTAACAGTCCGCACAATTACGCCACTTGTGAAAAGAGCCGAATTTTTCAACGGACTAAAATTTTTATTGGTTAGTAAAACTCTTAAGTATT